CAGCAGCAGCAGCAGCAGCAACAGCAGCAGCAACAGCAGCACCCGATGAACGGGTGGTGGCAGATTGCTGCTCCCTTAGAAGGGCTCTTGAGGACAAACCCACTGTAAGAAAATAATTAATTAATTTATTATTATTAATTTATTTATTTATTTATTTTTATTTTTATTTATCTATTTATTTTGTGCATTTGAAGAGGCTCTTAGGCATATTTCTTCCTCGAAAAAGACATAAAGAAATCAAAGAAATCAAAATAATAAAAAAAATAAACAAATAAAATAAATAAAAGGAGCAAAAGCAACAAATTTGTATCTGCTGCTGCTGCTGCTGCTGCTGCTGCAGGGCCCTTCTCAAATAGCTTTGCTGCTGAAGGCAGCAAAACATTTGCTGCTACACGAGGCCTCTCAAGAAACTTTGATGCACTGTCTCCGGGTCCTTTTATTTTATTAATTTTAATTTATTTAATTATTTAATTAATTTAATTAATTTGATTTATTTAATTTATTTAATTTATTTAATTCATTTTTAATTTCGGCTAGTTTTTTTTTATGTTTCCTTCCTTTTATCTTTTATTTATTTCAATTTATCTTATTTATTTTAATTTATTTTTATTTCTTTTCACTTCTTTTATTAATTTTCATTTCATTTTTATTTACTTTTATTTGTTTTTTGCTTTTTTTGTTTTTTTATTTCTCTTTTATCTTTTTTTATGCATTTCGTAGTGTAGTTAAAAAACGGAAAGCGTCTCCTTCTTATTCCCCTTTCATCTTCTTCTCATTTTCATTTTTATCTTCTTTTAATAACTTTTTTTTTATTTGGAATTTCTTTTTTCTTTTTATCTCTTTTTGAATTCTTTTTTATTCCACTTTTAATTCTTTTTCATCTCCTTCTTTCTTTTCTTTTCTTTTATACTTCCATTTCATTTCTTTTTCTTTTTTTTTTTCAGTTTTTTATTCCGGGCCCTAGGAGGCCCCGTGGGGATCCCCGGGGGCCCCCTGGGGGGCCCCTCTGTCTCATTTTTGTCTTCTTTTGTCTCCGTTTGTTTCTTTTTGTTTCTTTTTAACTTGCCTTTAATTTATTTTTAATTTATTTTTTAGTTCTTTTTAATTTCTTTTTATTTTAATTTCTGTTTATTTTAATTTCCTTTTAACTCTTTCGCCTTTATTTGTTTCTTTTCTTATTTATTCCTTTAATTTTTTTTCATTTCTTTTTTACCTCTTTCCTTTTTGTCCTTTTCCTTTTCTCCTGTTGCCTTCATTTCCTCTCAAACTATTTATTTACTTATAATAATTTAGTATTATTTGTTTAATTATCTAATTATTATTTATTATTTATTTATTAATTAATTTATTTATTTATTTATTTTAGGTTTCTGGAATAGGGCGTTGCATCCATGGGCTAATGCGGCAAAAAGAAATTGGACTAGAAAATCAGCAAAAGGCGAAGCTCTTAGTAAATGCATTAAAAGACAGAATTGCTGCTGCTTCGCAGCAGCAGCAGCAGCAGGAGCAGCAGGAGCAGCAGCTGCAGCACGAGCAGCACGAAAAATGGCCGCAACAGCACGCAGATGCGCAACAAGAAACGCAGCAGCAACCGCAGCAGCAGCAACACCACAGTCAGCAGCAGCAGCAGCAAGAGCCGCCGCAGCAGCAGCAGGGAGAAAAGGAGCAGCAACAGCAGCAACAGCAGCAGCAGCAACAGCAGCAACAGCAGCACGGGGACGATGACGACGAAGAGATGGCTTGCTCTCCCTAGAAGCTCCGTAAACCCTAAACCCTAAACCCTACTCCTAAACCCTAAACCCTAAACCCTAAACCCTGGACCCTTTGCGTAAAAACAAAAACCCGAAAGAAACAAACAAAACTTCTTTTTTACTTTTTCTTGATATCTGATACGAAAAAGGAAATAAAAGGGAATAAAGGAAATAAAAAGACAAATGGAAGTAAATTAGATTAAAAACATAAAAGAAATTAAAAAGAACTGAAAGAAATGGAATAAACTAAATTTAAAAGAATAAAAAAGATAAATAGAAAGAAATAAAAGGAAATAAAAAGAAATAAAGAGAAATAAAAAGAAATAGAAAAGATAAAAGTAAAAAGAAATAAAAAGAAATAAAAAATAAAAATATTCCTTTATTTATATTTATTTATTTTAAGAAGTGAAGAGATTAGAAAGCAACAGAAAAGGACTCGGTTTTATTATTTGTTTTTATTTTTATTTTTATTTTTATTTATTTTATTTTTTATTTTCTTTTATTCTCTTTTTCCCTTTTTGTTTCTTTCTTTCATTTATTTCGCTTCTTCTCCGTTTCCTTCATATTTTTAATTTATTTTATTTTACTTTATTTCTTTTTATTTTTCTTTTTTATTTCTTTTATGTTTATTTCTTTTCTTTCCATCATTTGTTACTTCCTTATTTCTATATTTTTTATTTTTTACTTTTTCTTTTTCGTTCCTTTCACTTCCTTTTTTCCTTTATCCATATTTACCTTTACTAAATAAACAAACAATAAATATCAAAATTAATTAATTAATTAATTAAACAAATCAATTAAATTAATTAATCAGCAAAATAAACTATTTATTTATTTATTTATTTATTATTTAAATTCACTTTTAAATGAAACTTCAAAAGGTCTCCATTGCCGTCAGAAAAGAAACAAAACAAACAAGAGCTGCAAATGCGTTCAAACCTGTCGCCTGCAGCAGCAGCAGCAGCAACAGCTGCAGCAGCAACAGCAGCAGCAATAGTGCTGCTGCGGCGTAAGCTGCTAATACTTCTGCTGTTATTGCTGCTGGTGCTGCTTCAGTTTCTGTTGACACAGCAGCAGCTGCTGTTGCACCTGCTGCAGCAGCAGCTGCTAAAGCAGCTGCTGCTGCGACAAACACCGTTGTAGTTGTTACTGCTGCACCTGCAGTGTATCTTGCTTTTGCTGCCGCTGCTGCTGCTGCTGCTGCTGCTGCTCAAGCTTCTGCCTTTGCTGCTTTAGCCCCTGCACAGGCTGTTGCTGTTGCGACTAAAGGCAAAGAAGCACTAGAGAAAAGAGCAGCAGCTGCTGCAGTTGCAATGCTGCAGCAGTAGCAGCAGCAGCTGCTGCTGCTGCAGCTGCTGCTGCTGTGTTAAGTGTTTGCCTGTT